AGCACTTTCGCATTTCGCAGTACCGCACGTGCCAGGCAAACTAATTGACGTTGGCCGAACACTGCGAATGCATTCAGTCAGAACAAGTGAGAAAATCAAGACGATTGCATCTTCAAGCGTTGAAGGGAGTGAGCATGATGACTGGAGGCCCGCGGTTGTTGCCAACTTCACTATTAGAATGGCTGAATTGGAAGCTGAAGCTGCCCCGAACAGCCATTTCACCAATCACGCCGGCAACAACCGTGCTCAACAATCGTGCCAACTGCCTTCGAGCTACGAAAGCCTTCATAGAAGAAAACTACGAAACATTGAGCAGACAGGGATACCTGATATTCTCTCCACCTTCACTAATCAAGTAGTCGAGCCCTCCTTGTAAACTAGAGATAAAAACCTTCAAATGAGCCAGTTCTAAAGCCTTCCATATTTCGGCGTCAGAGTTTCGATGGAAGGGATCCAAATTGAATCGAAGAGTTCCCGAGAACAGCACAGGATCCTGAACACAATTCTGTCTAGAGTAGCCAACAACTAGCCTAAAGACTGCATTCTGCAAGAAAAAAAAGCTGTAGTGTTGGTTCTCTCGGCACAAATCATCGGTGAAAATTCATACTGAATCGCCCGCTCTTTTCCCACATGGGACACTTGGAGAATGGTTTTCGTTTTCGCTGAAATTTCTTCAGCTTACGTCAATACATTGCAGTGCAGTCCCGAAAGGCAATGCATGGGTGCAAGAGTCATAGCACAGGCACAAGAAATGAAGGCTGCCTGTCACAGACTCTGTTGTTTTTACCACCAGCTGTCTCCTCTACTACTGAATGTTTATTGGACCTGAGTTTGTTCTTCTTGTATTTCACCTTGGAAAACCTAAGTGTGCTCTTATGGACTTGCAATGATGACGGGCCAATGTCCTTCTGCGCTGATTTTCCCAGCCTCAGATGCTTTTGAATTTCGCTACCACATTGCTTTATTTATCGGGATCTGTTTACGTACGCGCGCGATCCGGGGATCAAATCCCGGATCTGTTCCTGCCCAGGCCGACCAAGCCTTCTACTCTCCGGAAACTGTAAATTAGTACCAACTTGGATGGACTGGAAGGATAAGAATACAGACGTGTGCATCGGCTGACCCCCGCAAGTCATTGTGGAGGCCACATCGAATTCAGTGAGCCACTACAATTCTGAATGGAAGCAGGATATGTGCCCCATCCCAAAAAGGGATTGTTCGACGGCGATGACTTCATCCTTACTATTATATAGGTTGGAAAGAAAGTAATGTCACTGTTGTGATTTTTTTTCCTTTTTCATTTTCTAACTCAACATGAAATAAAAACTAATCAATAATATAGTCGCCATTGTTAGCCAATCGGCTGAACGAATGTTCTTCTTACCTAGGAAAGCCTTGAGGGAGCGGAACAAGTAGTAGTCGGAGGGGCTAGGTCTGGAGAATATGGTGGATGGGGAACGGTCTCCCAGCCTAGCTCCTCAATTTGGCGGTGGGTCTCTTTAGCCACATGTGGTCTGGCGTTATCATGGAGGAGGTGCACCGAAGCTCGTCTCGGCCGCTTTTCTCGAAGAGCTTGCGCGAGTTTCTGGAGTTGGGCGGCGTAAACGGTAGCGGTAACCGTATGCCCTTGCGGAAGCAGCTCGTGGTGCAGCATGCCCTTCGAATCCCAGAAGCAGCAGAGGAGGACCTTCTCGGTGTGCAGGTTCGATCTGGTTGCGTAGGCGGGTCTTCTCCTCGAGGGAGCCACATGGCACGACGTAGGTTGGAATCATAGAGGACCCAGCTTTCATCTCCAGTCACCATATCTTCCAGAAACTCCTTCCGGTTACGGTGTAGAAGGAGGGATCGACAGATGCTCACCCTGGCATACCGCGTGCCATCTGTTAGAGCATGAGGTATCCATCGCGTGAGGACTTTTCTGTAGCCAAGGGCCTGAAGGCGGCTTAGAGCTGTTGTATGGCTACACCCTAGCCTTGTCGCAATACTGCGCGTGGTAGCCTCTGGATCCTCTCTGACAGGTTCGAGAACGGCGGAATCTTCTACGCCGCGAGGGCGTCCCAGACGAGGTTTGCCTTCGAAGATCGTCTCTCCTTTCGCGAAGCGAGCGAACCAACGGTGGACAGTCCTGGACAGTCCTGGTGGTGGTGTCCTCCCCCAATGCACAGTTGATGTTACGGGCCGCTGCCGTCGCTCCAGTGCCGCGGCGCCACTCATAGAAGATGATCACTCGAAGCTGCTCCAGTGAAACTGACATCATAAATAAACACAGGGAAGAGCAGGAGCCTTGATATACCTCTTGTGGAAAAGCTTCGAGAATGTTCTACAACCTTAGCATGTTACGTCATGTTCGAGCTTCGAAGATCAAAAACTGTAGGCTATCTAAAAAACACTGACAGGACTTTCTTTCCAACCTATATTTATCTCGCTAGAGCCGAGATTTTTCCGAAAAGGTTTCCAGTTCAGTTCAAGTTCTTGAATAATTTCAGAGCCACAGAGATTACCTTCCAAGCATTTTCACTCTCTTCGTGATGTTTCTCTCCAGAAACGTGGCCTTAGAGACGACCGTCCGACGACTTTCACTATTCTCTTCTCTGTGACCCTCCATAGAGAACAATTTGTAAATGAAACTAACTTGAGGTATTATTGTAAGATTGCTGCGTAAGTCGTGGAGACCAATTTTCGATATGTCAACACCATCAATCACGATTTTGCCAGAAACAGGTTCAATCAAGCGGAAGAGGGCCAAAGCGAAAGAGCTTTTCCCTGAACAAAGAACAATGAGGTGAGTTAGAGCGCCAACAGGAACCACGACAAACCTGCTCCAGTGCGACCAACAATTCCTATTTTCTCTCCTTCATTTACATCAGCTGAAATCCCTCTCAGAACAAGATCGAGTCCTTCGCGATACCTGATTACAGCGATTTTATTCATTTTTTTTTACAAAATTTCGAGAAAACAGCAAATAGCGAGGGGGAAGGTAGTGCAGTGGCAAACTGCAAGAATGTTGAGCAGTCCAAACGACGCTGAGACCAATCAGTATTTTATACTTTGCCCCTGAAATTGCAACGCACCTCCCAGATTAAACA